TCACGACCATCCTTCCGACACTCTCACAATATCCACCTAGCCAGCGGAACTCTGGAGACTTCTGCTTCAGGAGTGCCGTATATTCCCTCCGACTGGTGCGCCGCCAAAGTCAAAGCCTGAAAACTTCTCCTTCGATACTGCAAGCTGACATCGGCCCCTTTGCGCCTGAGGACAGCACCAATGGTCAGCGTCTTCGTTCCTGAGGGATTGCAGAAGGCAGCGGCAGGGGAAGAGGGGAAGAGGGGGAGGAGAGGGGGGCTTCAACCATTAAGTTTTGCCTCGTGCAGAGACCGGTTCGCGCCCGTCTCAGGCCGCTGAGGAATCCAAGAGTCTCAGCCTGCCTGGCGCCCGGCAGACTTCGTCCGGTGGGCGGTGGAAGAAGGCCTTTGACCGTTTCGGGCGGATGCCGCGCTCTCAATGTTTGAGGCAGGACTTCTGCAGCAAGCTCAGTGACCTCCGAGCCGAGGCACGGGTCGGGGCCTGCACCAGGAGAGCGGGCCTTGCTTCTTGCGTGCTAGGAGGGCGATGGCAAAACTCATTTGCATCCCGTGCTGGATCTGCTGGTGTCCGCAGAGATGACGGACATGGAATGGGCCGGTTGCTCAATTCGAGAGGTAAAGGCTTCGTTCGGAGAGGAGCTGTTTATCCTGGGCTTAGAGTCCTCTCCCAGGCTTCTTACGCAAGTCCCATGCACTTCAGCGAGCAGGGCAGCTCAGAGTTCTCTGTGAGCCCAGCTTGAACTCGACAGAACTACACATCCCCCGGCCGGAGCAACCACGCACCATTCAAAAACGAAGGTAAACCACAATGTCTGATTTCTGAGTCGTCTCAGTGGAAGTGTTGGCACTGGTGCTCTCGAACCGCGTCACTGCTTGAGGTTTCAACCTGTCCAGCACATCATCCACTGCAACGGCCCTCAGTTCGTTCGAGATACAGCAAAACAGCAAAACATATTGATGCTGAGAGTTGCTTCCGTGCTTCGGCACCATAGCTTAATTGAAGGTGACGATGAGTTCTCCGTTGTCATTTCCTGCTGGAGCCTGGACCTCATTCGGGCAATGGGCGAGCTAGTGGCAGCCCCGGTCAGTCGCATCTCAAGGCCCCGGTCAGAAGATCCCTCCGCACACTGTGGGGCGAGGCGGGGTCCAGTTTCTCACGTGCTTTCCCTCGGTCCTTCTTTGAGAACCACTGCGCAGGTCGTGTGATGTGGCTGAAGGCTCGGGAGCCAAGAGCGAGCTGTTTTCATGCAGATGCTGCAGGGCAGAGACACTGTCTTGAAGTGAGCTGGACAGGTCCTTCATGGGAATCTCCTCTTTCAGGAGAGGGCTGAATTTGGACACAGATGCGTGATGCTGTGCGGTGACCCTGGTGAGGAGTACTCCCCTGGCCTCTTCCCGTGGGAAAGTGATGTGGGAGTCTTAACAGCTTTCAGCTCCTTGGCACAGTCACAGCCTGAGAGCGCAAGCAGATGCGAGTGGCTGCTGAGGTCGAGCGACAAACGGAGCTCGGCGAGGGCTCCGCCAGCTTTCTGGAGGCGTTCGCTCTTGACAGACACTGCATCGCTTCCGAACTCGCCCACCGTCGCAACATATTGACGTGGATCTCGCGACAAGACAGAGCAGGCATGCATTCGAGAAGCGTCCCACGCTGCTGTGTCTTGCTACAAGCAAAGCAAACCAAGATCTCAGGCATCCTACATCGCAGGGAAAACTTGCACAACGGGCAAGTCAGACTTGCGTTGTTTCCTCTGTTATCGATGGCCTACCAGTGTTCCGGCACTCTATCTCATGCATATGCTGCCGCGTTGCTGGTCTTTTCTACAGTATGGCCTGCTCTGCAGGAGTGTGGCGCCCGATCCTCAGATTCTGATAGCAGCTTGTGAGGTTTGGACTGCAGACCTAGACTTGCTCAGCCGGCCTTGCACGAAGGTGCGCATGCACGATGTCAAGAATCTCAGTGAAACTGAGCCAGCAGTTTCGGTGGGGATCCAAGCGATGCAGCATGCCGAAGTCAAGCGACACTGCAGTCCATTGTGCCAAGATTCAAGTTTTCTCTCCTCCTCTCACGTCGCCCGGACCTCAACGTAGGGCTTGTTTCAGCAAGTTGGAAGGGCCAAGGGCCCATCCGAGCCAAGTTTGCAAGCCTGTTCGTCTGAAAGCGCAGTGTGCACGCAGCCGGCCAGGCTTTTCTTGTGTTGCCTTGGTTGCAGCGTCTGACTCGTGGATCCGAGGTTTACTTTTCATTCGGAGAAGGGCACAGAGAGACGCGACCTTCCCTGGCTCGTTGGGCAGGCACCGGGACCGGGTGGCGGCGGCCAGTGTTCTGCCAGATGCTGATAGTTCTGTGTTTCGAATTCACCGGCCTGCACTTTTGCAGGCAGATGCCACAAAAGGATCTGAAGCATTCTCCAGCTCGTCTCCGACTTGGCACCAAGTAGCTGAAGCCGTCGGTGTCAGGACGAGGGAAGTTGAGCCGACATAATCGGTAAACATCCCGTGAAACTTTACCACCTATTCCGCCTGTACATCCCCAATATTCAAGCTGACAACCCTCTCAGCACTGACGCAGGGGCAGGCGATGGGGCAGGAGCAGGGGAGGGTGGTAGCTGGACAGCAACTTGCGGGAGCTATCCACTTGTTCGCCGCTGCCTGGCCGTGCATCAGAATGTTCGAGCCCCGACTCTACAAATGAGGTTGAATGTGTCGTCAATGAAGCATGGCGCAAACGGGTTGGCATATCCTCTTGTATGATTGCATTCGCTTTGTGGATGAATCAGTCGCTGAAAATGGTACTAGTAGCCGCGTTTCTAAAGAGACCTTGCTAGCTTCAGATGCTGTTGGTGCGAATTTGCAAGTGCTCAAGAAGATATTGCCGAGGAAAGTCACAGGCGAGAGGTGTAAATAAAGCCTGACTGAGCTCAATGTAAACTGTGTAAACCCATGCAGCAGACGTTTGTTCTTCCGGGCAGCCAGGCCGTTCTCGAAACACAGGAAGACTTCTGGAAAGCGGATCCACCCGCGCACGCCCGCGCGAGCGGTAGTAGTACCTTTCAGTCCAGGAAGTTCGCAAGTCGTTTTTGATACTGCACCTAAGCCATGTTTCTGTTTCCTCGTTCGGTTCGCTCTTTGCGTCTTCGGTGCCAATGCGTGGTGAACCAACAGGGCGGGAGGAGCCCTGCCCTTTCCCAAGTACGTTCTCGAACTCATCGCAGAGAGCATTTTCGTGTCACCGATTTTGGGAATGATGAGAGCCCAGCACTACGATGTTTCAGGTATGTAGAGAGGGTGGGGTGCGCGGGGGGCCTGGGGGGTGGGGGCTGGCGGTTGCTTTTCAAAGTGTCCTCACCTGACGTTCAAGTTGGACCTGACATGGTCCTGCCTGACTTTGATAGCATCAAGGGGGCGGCCTTCCCGATAGGTTGAAATGCCGGACCGTACAGGGCATTCTGTGCATTTCTGTGCCATCTTGGTTGATGAGGTCTTGAAAGCAATGGCAGCCATCATGCTGGCACAGTTTCGGAATTGTGGTACCTTTAGAACTGGAAATACTGAGGCGAGCCGTTCGCACCGCGGGACGATGGTACGCCGGACTGGCCTTGTCAAGAGTCAAGCGTTGTGCGAGCATGGAATCATAAGACTGGCCCCACGACCGCATCAGTGTCGATGTTGTTCCTCCGGTTCAGCTGCCTTCAGGTTCTTATCCTTCCGGGGGCTGCAGAGCCTGTGGCATCCTGAGCTGGACGTGGTTGGCTGACGGGTGATCGGTGTGGTCCTGAACTTTTGAACTCTCGCCTTCCGAGTCTGAACGAAGAGTTCTCTCGCCCGGAAGTCACGCCAACCGTCATCTCGACTCTGCTCTCCAAGGCCTGAGAGGGGTAATAAGGCCTCAAAATAGTCTCGTCTCAGAGCGCCGCATTGATTCCCCAACGCCTCGGACAGCAGGCGGTGTTCAACCCGCAAGAGTGGCGAGATCGGCTGTCCCTCACTGCCACACGTACGCATTGGATCGAGAGCGCGTACCAAAAGCCGTTTCCACACCGCAGTAGGCAAGGCCTTTTTTTCAGCACCCACTCAGTGAGGTGAGACAAGCTTCTGGGTCCCACATGTCGCCAAGCGGCCAGACCAGCCCCCCACTCTGCACATCCAAGGCTACGCCAGGCGGATCATCCCAAGCAGGCAGCGCATGGCCAAAGCGCAGTGCTCGGAGAGAAAACACACGTTGATCAACGCCGCTCTTGGATTCCACTCGTTAAATTCCGTCTTGCAGCCCCTCCGAGGCACATCCTAGTTGCGCAGGAGAAGAAGTACAGCGTTGCGCGCTGAGCCCTGTTTGCGCACAGCATCCGGCGGTCCAGCCCTGTCCTTTAGCGATGAATCTGACGAGCCAGTGTCGTAATCAGGAAGGCATGTAGACTCCAAGCAAGCCACCCTGCCGCTCGCCAAGATCATCCTCTCATTTTGGGGGAACAGCCCAGAGCGCCTTGGGCCTGACCAAAGCCGCAGAAGTCTGTCGAAGGTGGGTCAATAGCTGCAGCTAACTTCTGTTTCTGCATGAATGGGCGGGTTTTCACGGAGTCTTAATCTGCGTCCCATCCTCAAAGTTATGCAGAGTGGGTGTTTTCGAAGGATGAATGGGCAGAAGTGTGAGAAAGAGACGGCTATTGAAGCTGAAAGTTTCAGTTGTGAGCCACTTCTATCTGCAGCGGCTTTGTTTGAATGTGTTGGGCGGTGACAGCGTCGACGGGTCTTCGACTCTACCCGAAGATTCGAAAAGTGTCACACAGTTGCGAGTGCCCAGGCGCTCCGTTGCCATTGAGGGTGGCACCGGCATGAGCTGGACGCAGCGGCCCCAGATGACAGGTCCCTCAGTCGTTGCGATGCCGTAAGATGCTGCCAGGCTCGTTCTCGAAGGCGAGCTGGAGGAGCGAGCAGTGAACATAGGCCTGGCTCCTTTGAGCGCATGTTGGTGAACGAGTCTTTGGGATTGAGAGATTTGGTCTCGTGTTGCTGCACTCGCTGAGCCCAGAAATGACGTGAAGAGAGAGAGAGAGAGAGAGAGTGTGAGCATGTCTGCGAGCACAACTGAGCGGGAACATGCTGAGTGCAGTGAGCCGAGTGCGATAGGCAGACATCCCCGGTGCCTTGTAAGTTGGTTGCTTGTTAGCTACGCCTGGTCAGCCCTTGTTTTTCCGGGGGGATGCCTTGCCTCTATGGTTGTGGTTGTGGAGCAACCATGCCATAGTAGCCTAAACTGTTGAACGGATCATGACATGCAACCTCCCTGCTGCCTCCTTTGTAACCTAGCACCTTGTCCCTCTTTTGAACTTGAGGGGAGCATGTTGTGTGTCGTTGAGAACAACCAGCCACAGATGGGGGAACTACTTGCTAAGTAGTTGCAGTTCTTCTTTCGCACCGGCCCGCAGAGTGCTGTGTTCTCCGACTTTCAACTAGTGTAAGAGCTTGCGGGGGATGTCCCTGCATTCTGTCTTGTCGTATCGTTAGTGATGGCTGTCAGTTTGCACTTCTACAGGGGACAGAACCTGGGGACATCCGCACTACTGTAGGAGTCAATCGTGCATCATCGCAAGCACTATGTTATGCGGTTTTACTGTTGTGTGAATCATGTTCCAGTTGTGACACTCAAGCGACAATGCATGCATAGTGGCAGTCCTTCCGGTCTCAACATGTCATGCCCGGGGGAGTTTTCCTTGTTGTGTGGTGTTATTCCGTAGGCAGGTAAGCTAAAGTCGAAGTGGAGACAGTGGCATGACACGTTTTTCTCACAAATAATAAGAATAGGTGTCCCAAAGCAAAGTGGGGGACATCAGGAAAACTTGCATATTTTCATTGATGTTCAACTCAATCCTGTTTTCACGTCCTCTCAATGTCCCATCACATATGGGGGGCCAATAGGCCGGGGGACCTCGACAAGCCCGTAAGCCATGTGGAAGAAGAAGAAGAAGAAGTGAGCGACAGACAGTCCTTCCAGAAGCCCCTATAAACTGGGGGGGTCTAGTGGCCGGGGCGCTTGAGACGCCGCTTATGCTCTGTGGAAGAAGAGTGAGAGTGAGTGAGTGAGTGAGTGAGAGAGTGAGAGACACAGTCGGTGTGCCCTTAGGCAGGGACAGGCTCCCTCAGGCCTGGTGCAACAAGGAGAGACTTCACAAGTGTAGTAGTGCACTTCTTCAGCTTTCGTAGACGAACGCCTTGAGCGACTACTCATCCGTCAGAAGGGCTGCCAGGTACTGAAGAGCTCGCCACGGCAACATGCTGTGTAACTCCCCTGAGAAAGGCTGTCTCAGTGTGTTTGGTTTTGGCTCAGTTTTTGCGCAGCTTGAGCTGCAAGGACAGATCGCACCGTTGGACCGCCGTCTGTTCATGTGCACAGAGTGTCTGTAGAGTTGATGTAAAGTCCGATGTCGGGAGTTGTATGCAACTGCGGCGGTCGATCGGGAAGGCTTTGCCGGGTTTGCGGGGCTGATGAACTGTGTTGGTTTCCTTCGCGGCCGGTGCGTTTTCCGCTTTGGACCCATACCTTCGCCCAGAGTCGCCAGCAATTCAGTTTCTAGGATTTTCTAGGCTTGCCAGATCATCCCTCTGTCCGCTGCATCAGGTGCGGAAGGGCCGCAAGTCGTTCGATCCAGTGTACTCAAGGAGGCATGACGTCCAGCTGCAACTGTACTCTTCTTTCCAGTAGTTCATTAGTTTATGGCGAGGCTAAGCGAGAGAAATTGCGGATGTGGTTCAAAGTTGGCAGGAAAGTTGCTCATTTCTGAGCCGGGAAGAGACTTCCGGTGCTGCCGGTGCTGACATCATTGAGCATCTTGGTCTAATCTTGGTATGCCTGCGCTGTGCCGTGGTACCTGCCACCATCGTCACCTGGAGGCACAGCCACTCCTCCGAGACGTTTGCGGCTGAAAGCCTGATGTCGTCATCCACGCCTGTGGTGTCTCTGCCCTTTCTTAGGCCTTGCGTCTCGTTGCACGTCTACCATCCGCCGCTGCCGGAGGCAGGGAGCGAGGAAAAAGGCCGCCCGGATGGCCGTCTTTGCTGTCGTTGTGGAGTTGCGCAGGCATGGATGACGGGATGAGTATCCGTGCTTGCCTAAGCCGGTTTACTCGTAGCTGGGTTCTGCAAGACCGTATGTTTTGTCTTTCCTCACGCGGGACGGCTTTGAATGTTGTGCGATGACATTGGCTATAACATGGGGCTAAGCCTCAAGCCCCACGTGTAAGGTTTCGAGTCTCAGATCATCAGTGGCCTGAGTTCGAAATCAGATCGCACACGAGCTCTTGGATGTTCGAGTTTGTGCACGCGTGTGTGTGTGTGTACACGCCTGAACATGGTGTTTGTTTGCAGGGATTGCCCCACACCTGAAGAGTGGGCATTGGGCATCTAGCAATGAGCCTATTTAGTAGAGTATGCTGATTTGGTTCCGGGATGTTGGAGCCTTGTACCTGCTGAGGTGGCCAGCCCGAAAAACCCTCACGCCGCTGTTGTTTCATATTGGCCAAGAAGTGAATCCAATCTGAGAAAATGAGGCTGCAATCTGTCGTCATCGGTCCTGTCACACGTTCTTCGTAGCTACCTGTGCCGAAGTGTGTACTGTTCTGGTTTGCTCGAAATTGGGCCAGATCACAGGGGCATGTGCCTGATCCCGCGATCGCGGATAAATGGGTTTGCACAAAGCAGCTCTCAGGATCATTGCAGCAGAGTGACATGTGTCCGCAGTGGGGTTTATCGGGATCATGCTTACTTGCGTGATACAGGGCCCGAACACTGCACGATCAATCAGGACGACACGTGCATCTGCATCTGCCAGGTCTAAACCGGCATGCACACAGGTACACGCTCAAGGTTCTTGGAGGTACATGTCAGTGCCTGTTCTCCCTCTGATGTTGGTTGCTGCTGGCTGTCTCCCACAGCACTCCGCCTGATGCAGCCCTGGTATATGGTGGGGCGCGTGTCCGTGCGTGTGCGTACACGCCTGAACATGGTGTTTGTCCGCAGGGGGATGCTCCTGAAGACTGAGCATCTAACAAAGAAGCTTTTTAGCTGTGCTGCACGCACCTGCTGAGATGGCCAGCCCAAGACAACTTCAAGCCGCAGTGTTTCATACTGGCCAAGAGCCCCCTGCAGGGTGGCCGCAATCTGTCGTGTTGAGTCCTGTCACATGTTCTTCGCACTTACCCGTGCCAAGCCAAAGTGTAAGAGTGTGTGTGTGTGTTTGCGTGCGCGATATTGTGTGTGTGTGTGTGTGCCTGCGTGTTTTCACGCGTACAATGATCTTCATGCAAGGTTTCGTGCTTCGCCCTGAAGGTCCCCAGATCTGAGATCCGGGCGTGTGTGTCTTGCGATGCTTCAGCTTCAGGGCATGTGCCGTACGGCGACGGCGGTTGCACCGCTCGTGTCACCATGTGCATGGGGCCTTCAGCCACACGGTACTTTATTTAGCTCATCTCGAGCTGTGCCTTTAAAGTCTGTGTTTGATTGCGCTGACAGGTCAGATTCTTTCAACTCAAGTAACTTTTTCTAAGTGAAGAGGAACGATGCTTGACTCCTACCTTTTGACATCCTGCTGGCAACTTTACGTTAGCCCACTTCCTCTTCAACAATCGTTTCGGTAGACCCTGCCGTGGCTACATCCCACACGCGCAAACTTGCAACCTTGGAGTGGCCGTGGCAGTGTGATAATATAGAATATGACTCGCAGAAGATCGAGCTGCCTCGACAGCAGGCAAAACGAAACTGCTCTAGATTCTAGATATCGGTCATTTGCAGCAAGAGAAGCTTCAGATGGTTGGGTGCGTGATGAAGTTGTTAACTGGTAGAGCAAGAGGTGGTTGACCCAAATTATGTATGAGCTCAAGCACGTCGGTCTAGCGGCCCTTCATTTGCATCCGCAGCCATAAGCTTCAATGGTCACCGAGTCTAGCAGTGTGTCGAGCCACATCTTGCAATGGGCCTGGAGATCAATCTGGAAGAGTGCATGCACAAGGGCTTGGTGGGTGCAATTGGCGCCATACCGGGGACAGTGTGTGCACACCCCTTCGATGTCGTGAAGATCCGCATGCAGACCAGTGGGACGTCTGACCCATTCCGTGGAGGCGTCCGGAAAGCTATCAAGGCAGTTGCAGCTTGCGTGGAACGACCAGGCACGCCTGGTGCCTTTCAAGCTTCTCAATTCTTCCGCGGCCTGGCACCAGCGATGCAGCAGAAGGTCATTACGAGAGCTCCAATGTTTTTGCTAGCTGAGCTCTGCACTCAAACCGTTCAAATTGCTGGCCTCTCGCGCACTCAGGCCTGCTTCGTTGGATGCTTCTGCTCAGGCTTCATAACCGGCTCAGCTGCAGCTCTGCCTGAGTATCGGAAAGTTCTGCAAAGTCAGCGAGTTCGTGCCCAGGGGACTTCGACCGTTCTAGCGGTGATGAGGTCAGCTGTTGCCAGTGGCCAAACAGGATCAATACTAATACGGATGAGGTCAGCAGGCCTCCGTAACGCCATCTTCGACTCCATCTTCTTTGGTGCCCAACACACGCTGAGTTCACATTTGTCCAGTGGGCCAAGCTACGCATGTGCTGCCGCTCTTGCCGTAACCTTAGATTACTCGGTAGACGTCGTCGTAAAGCGTATGATGGTTGTTCCACCACAGCAGGCTCTACGTCCGTTGATGCAGAGTTGGCTGCAGTTGTTTCGTGGACATGCGAGTGCATTTCATGCCTGTGCTTCCATCCATGCAGGTTTGAGTGCCAAAGCCGTGGAGTTCTCTGTCAGTTATTTCATTACAGGAACTGTTGGGGTGAGCGTTGCTGCATCCCTTCAGCAGCTCTACGTGCTCGCCCAGGAACGGAAAACCGAAGATGCTCAGCACGCAACATGGCTCCGACATATTAAACATGTTTCTCGTTTCTCTATCTCAGGGTGCATCAAGAATCAAGGGCAGCCCCGCAGCAGTTCTTACGATCGACGGCCGCCATGGTGTAGTGTGACTCTCCTTGTGCAGGAGTAAGGTCGCGTGCAAGTGTTTGGCGATGCTCACTCGAGTGTAAATCGCAAGAGCATGTGTTGTTCACTTTCCGGGGAAGTGCACACCACGAGCCTTCACACCTGGTCGGAACGCAGCTGAACAGGAAGTTGTGGGATATTTTGGAAAGAGAAGGAACTTCCCGTGGCTGCGTCAAAAGCCATGTCGTACGCCATCGGTGGGGCGGCTTCCTGTGCCGAGGCGCGTCAAGCGACACACGTCTTAGGGGACCCTTGGCTTTGCTTGAAGGCCGGCTGCTCGAAGGGCAGCAAATACTGAGATTGTCGGATTCAGGAAAGTTCCCGAGCGCATTTGGTGTCGACTAGCTGAGGTGTTGCCTCATGCCATGCGTGGCCTGGCTTGAAGGGGGTTTTTGTGCAGTGCGTGGAAGACACGGAGCCATCTGACTTTGAAGCCGAAGACCGAGCAGGATCAGATTAATGTTCTGGCACATTCCTGGACACTGAGCCATACTTGCAACTTTGTTATCAACTTCCAGGGGCGGTCCGCGTGCCGCGGATTTCCCAACCCCTGCAGTCCACGGAGAAGCGGACGCATCCGGGCAGGAGATGGAAGACAGCATGTAGATTCTATGTCACACTTCCAGAAGACATCAGCGAGAGATATGCGCACAAGCTGCAGCCAGTCTGTGTCAGTCCCCAGTGTCATGGAGGAGCTGGCGGAACCCATCACGCTCGGAGATGTCCCGGTCTCTAGCGACAGCCGTATGCCTGACGGCCGGGGGCTTCTTGTGCAAAGTTGACTTCCCGAACTCTCCCTGGAACAATCTTGCTGATGAGCTGGGAAGGGATGAAGCTCGAACATTGCATAAGTAGAGAAGATCCAGGACAGGCGGCGAGGCCCCAGCCCTCAAAAGCCCTGAAGTATGTAAGGGTTCGCCACCGGAACCACACAGTGAGCAGGCTAAGGTTTGGGCAGTCATCTTCAAACCAACAGGCTCTTCTGATATGGCCCCTCGCAGATGCACTCATACCGGTAACAGTAAGAGCTGCACAGAGCAAGCCCCTCCTGTGACTATGCAGTTGCACCTCACAGCAGGGAGCTATCGCTGTCTTCGGAACTTCGTCGGATAGGGATACACCATTAGACCTGTCCAGTTCAGTCTTTGAGCTTCGAAGCCTGAGATTTGCGACCACGTGCAACAAGATTATTTTGGACTGCTCACAAATTGAGCCGGTCAGGGCCGGAGAAGCATTCAGGTGAAACAGGGTTTTGACTACCAGGGTATCAGGGTTTCGTTGTCCCACAGGGTTATGGCTATGGTTTTCGGTGACAAGTGATAGGAGTGCATTGACGCGGAAACCTGAATCGATTCGTGGTCCAGGCAGCGGGCGGCCGCAGGCTGCACCGCAACACCCTCAAGGCTGGAGTCGGCTGCAGTTTCGGGGTCAAAGTACGTAGTCGGCTGATTCTCGGGTTGACACCCGGTGTCGGAGTGCAAGCGAAGCTTAGCACCGAGGTTGTCTCTCGTCTCAAAGCAAGACCTAATCTGATCTTCAATTCGAGAGGGATGTTGCCAGAAGAGGGGCCGGCAACTCCTGAGGCGACGGGAAGTGCTGGCGGCTCCACGCCTCTTTCCCTTGGCACGGCCAAAGCGAAGGTGCAAGCACCTGCGAAGGAGGAAGAGGCACGCGTTCGGATGGACATTTCCTCATGCTGAGAAGTGCATCGAGCTTGCAAGGATTCAGGAAGCTGGGTCCTTCCAAGCGTGGACAAGGACAGCCAGACTCCTTGTTTCGTTTGATGTTTCACACTGCAGTTAGGTCTGCAACTGGTTGAGAAGATGGGTCTTCGATGACAAAAGGATGGGCCAAGCCATCCTAAGACTCCGACTCCTTTTGATTCCTTGTGTCCTCGATTACCTGTGGTGTTTAGTCTGTCTTTCGATTTCGCACGGCGGCGCGAGTCTAGTGGGCAGGGGTAGACTCAAGACCCCGAGGACATCTCAGAGTACTACACTGGTCGGGCTCCTTGCTATGCATGGGTCGCAAGCTTACGTCTTAACAAACAGGGCACCAGTGCTATCAGCGGTGCAAATTCGCTTGCCCAGCTCTTACAGTGCATACGCCAGGTTCAGACCAGTGAAACGCTTTACCTCTTCACTCCACTTCCGAATCCTCAGGTGCACGGTCAAGATGTTGGTGTGCTGCATTTAGACGCAGTAGCCGTAGCCGCTTCGCACGTGCAGATCCATGCTGCAGGTGCGGGAGGCAACTACCGATGAGGAGAAAGAGCCAGCCAATGCTCCACACCCAGCCATCCTTTTAGCTGGTAGCTGTGCCATCCAGTCGCGAGACGTCAGACGCTGCGCGAGGTGCAACTGGACCTCACAAACGAAGGAAGGACCCTCAGGCCGCCCATGGGGCCCATGGGGCCTAGTGAACGCCTTTCAGCAGTGTTTTGCACTTAAACCTGCAGTTTGCATCGCGTAGCATCAGATCACTCGACCCCGGCGCGCGGCGCAGGCTGATGGTGGACGGGACTGCGATCTTGGACGGGAGTCTGGCCCACGCAATCAAGCCGGGAGATGAAATCTGGATGATTGAGGCGGGGCCTGCACTGGAACTCTTCAGTAGAGGTTTTCTGATCCGAAGCTAGGAAGCGCCCGACGGCCGGGAATTCGTGGTGGTCGAACTCGACAAGCTGTTCCCGGCTCAGCTCCCACGGGCCGAACGCGAATGGCCAAGGATTTTCGTCTCTTGTTGACTCTTTCTCGTAAAGACCCCAGAGATTGCACTGTGGCTGGAGCTTGCCGCATCAGTCTGCCGCAGTCTGTCAGGGTTCCGGGCATCAATTGGTCTTCCGTCCTGGAGCCGCAGGCCATGCCAGCAGAAGCAGACTGGGGGCAGAGAGAGTGGTTCCAAGCCGCAGAGAAGCGACTCTTCCTCTACAGAGCCCCTGTCCTCACGGCCTTTGGGGCTTCTCTCCATAGGGGAGAGAAACGTAAAGACGGCAAGTCCCCGGCATCAAGTCAGCACCAAGACGGAAAGCTCTTGTGAAGTGTATAAACTCCGTCAGCATGCAGGTAGACGTCCTGGGACCGTACTCGCATCCAGTTGTGAAGATGCCGGACATCTTGACAGAAGAGGAGGACTGCAAAGCGCATGTGCCATCTGTCCCTCTGAGTCTCACTGTCCCGCTCTGTCTCTCCCTCCCTCCTTGCTTCCATGTGCACACACACACACGCACACGCACATGGGCATGCAAGAGCACCCTGATCCGAGATACTGCGGACGATTATGGGGATATGGGGATTCGGTCCGCATCCACCTCTTGAGTTCAATCGTTTCGGTCTCACGGTTCGGTTGGCCTCGATGTGGAGCGCTCAGGAGAGTCTCGTTTCCGAGACCTTGCAGCACCTGCGGCGGACGAAGAGAACACTTCAGCCGGTGGAAGGCCCGACCTGGGGCGGCTCGCAACTGCCGCGATGATGCTCGCTTGCCAGAGGCCGCGCGGCCGCTCGTGGAGATGTCCGGCACCCAACTTTAATGCTGGGCTCACCTTAGACTACGAGAGGGCGAATCATCACAACGGCTCAGGTTCTTTCCGTTGACATGCAGGGCTACGAGATGAAGGAGGCCCGAGTGCAGCATCTCCCTCTTCCTCTTGAGGTAATCGTGGGGATTCAGCCTGCTTGCATGAAGAGTATTTGAAACAGATGAAGTGCTGGGCGGTCTAGTCTCAGCTTTGATGGCCCCGGTGTGTATAGTGGCCCGGCTTAGTTAATTGATCGTACATGCACTCCCACACCTCTTCTTGAGCCAATCTCCTCGACCAGACTGATCGGGAGCACTCGTCGTCATTCAGAAAACGGTGAAGCTTCATCTAAGCTGAGATTCAGCGCACCTCTCAAGCGGCTCGTGCCTCGCGAGGATGGTTCTCGGGGCAAGGAGTTGGACGTCGGATCAGCTCGGATCTGTGGCCATATCAGCGCTCTCGTCCCGGCATCTCCCCTCTGCCTTGCTGAGGCGAAGGGCCTGGAGCTGGAGCTGGGAGCGAGCACCTTCTCTGCCGAGGTACTGGTGGCAGCACCGCAAGTCTGGGGGAAAAAAGGAAAGACAACAAACGTATGCTTGCCTACTTGCTACAGCGTCTATCATGAGTTGCATGGCAGCTGTCAGGTTTCACATGGTAGGGCATGCAAAATGCTTGATAGGTCAGTTGCGCACCGAGACGGGACTTTGGCAAATGACTTCTCGTGAGGTGGAGCGGAGTCTCGATGGCATTGCTATGGGGGAAACGCGCGACGTGCAGGTGGCAGACTTGGAACTCTTTTTTTTGGTTTCCTTGCACCTTGCGTTTTCAAAGTAGGCATCAGGTATCTTTAGGTCCTCCTTCGTGCTAAACATCGAGTCCCTTTCACCTTGGACCACTTGTCGCTTCCCGTTTTGCATATGCTACCGAGAACTTTCGGGTGCGGCATCAGTATTCTACGGCTAGTTTCTGAGCATCAGGTCCTGCAAATTCCAGATGCTATGCTCTTGTTCCAACATGTCAAGTACATACTCGGGCACGACGCTGATTGCGACACCCACTCACACGCGAATCACTGCGGCAGATCGGGCTGAGAAAATAAGGAGTGGCTGCTTCACAGTCCTTTCGGCCAAACGACCTTCCGGTGTCAGGGCTGCTGTCTCTGGCAAGGCTTCCTCCCACTCCTCTAAGTTATGTTGGAGATCCGTCCGAAAATAGGACACCAGGACACTGCACCGTCAAAAGCCTTTAGAAGCTTGTCGAGTGCAGACTCAGTGCGCAAGCAGCCGTCGGCTTGGATATTCGGCGCAAACTCAATGGAGTTGTGCCCGTAAGACACTGACAGCTGCCCTAGTCATTGTTGTGGTTCACATACCCTAGCAGGTTGCCCTCGGCCAGCGTGCAGGTGGCATGGGAGGGCCGCTACCTCATTTACGTCAGGGTTTCAGAAAGAGCATCTCGCTCTCTGAAGGTGATTGGAAGTCGCAGCATAGACAGCAGGTTGGCATGTGACGACCCTGCTGTTTCGGCATGACGATAAGGCAGCAGATAATTTGCGCCGTGACATGCCAAGGCATCAAGGACATTTCATCATTGGTTGGGGTGGGGGGGGGGCGATGTGGTGAGTCCTGGGAGTGGCGAGGAGCAGCTGCTTCCGGAGCTGAATGACGAGTTTGCCAAGGAAATCAAGCGTGAAGAGCAGTTCAAGCAGGCCGAGAAGCCCGCGGGGCCGAGAAACGGCCGCCAGTGCTGGCAGCATAGAGCCCGCTGGAGGCTGGCACCATGGAGGGCATCCCCGAAGAGGAAGAAGGCGTTGCGGAGGCTGGGACCCTGGGCCAGAAAGGAAAGGGAAAGGGTACTTCACATGTCCGTGACCCTTCTGACTCAGGTGTGAGATGTTCTTGACTTTTCTTGTGTGCAGCGACATTATAGGAGAATGCAGGGCGGCATGCATCGGTTTCGTGATGCAGTGTCACAGATGGCTCGCTGGCTCTTTCTCCGGTGCTTCGCTCATGCGCCCAGAACTTCTCGCTTGCCGATCTGCGGGCAGAGATTGGGCGAGAGGCACTTGGTCTCAGAGAAGTGAATCAGGAAGATTCAGAGTTCACGAGTTCAGCACCAAGCTTGAAGTATCCATGTACATCTATGTACAAGGAGTGGGGCAGTCACTGCTTCCTTGCTGCTGCCGCTTCGTCCTTCGATGTCTCAGGTCCGACAGGTTGCCCAGACGCAGGCGCTCTTAGTGGCGTGCTCCGACAATCCCACATGGCAGCGTTGTCGAGATGAGCTTTTCTGCTAAGCCCTTCAACCTCATAAATTTGCCTTGACGACCATCTGAATCAGTCGAACGACGTTGTCGACACGCAGCTGCGGGCACACCTGCGCCAAACACTGCAGGCCCAGAAGTGTGCAATCCAAATGCAAGTCGCAATAGCTGCTGGCTTGCAGCGCAGCGCAGGTGTGCGTCGTAGATTACTAGGTCCTAGGTCACAGCAGACTTTCCCCACGGGCTAAATAGACATTGGGGCAGGCGTGCGTTTGCATCTGGAATGCCCGAACCGAGAGCATCTCAGAGAATTGTCTGACTTCCAATGCGGATGAGCAGGTGGCATGGTCAGGAACGCCGATTTCCTTAGCGGTTCTTTCGTCCAGCATTGTAATCGTGACATTCATCTCGCGGCGCAGTCTGGCGGAGATCTTGGGGTCAGCCAATATCCTAGCTTCTGAGTCCTGAGTGACACTAGTAGACACGTCTCAGGTTTTGCTCCGGGTCGATAGTGCCACTGATGGATCCAGAGATGATGTTCAAAACGAGTTGTTGAGCCAAAGCCGATACACCTGATGCAGACAGCGTTGCGGTGAACTCAGTCAGTGGTTGCGCGGTCTTACTGTGATTCCTCAGTAGCTGCTTGCCGGGCCAGGTCACGTGCCACTGGGCAGACTTGGGGTCTGAGGAAGCCACTATAGAGGAGGCTGGTTTTTCATTGTCCTGGCGTAGCAAAAATGGAAGTACCATAGCAGAGGTTGCTACTTGTAGCCACCTGTCGGAACTCCGGGCGAAGCGCCTTTCAGTGAGGAGCTCGCAATTGCAGCTCGCTTCCTCGCTGAGAAGGAGGCCCGTACTTCGAAGACCCCCAGTTGGAGCGTGAACCTCGTCGAGAGCGGAGCTGTCGAGGGGCTCATGCAGAAGATCGACATGGATGATGTGGAGCGGAAAACGTGGAGCAAGCAGTGGCCTTGGCGTTCCAGAATCTGTGCTATAAGCCAGAATGGAACCATCCACGAGGTTGGGAGAGCCTGACGAGGGAGAGACCCTCAAGCAAGTTGGCAAAGATCCAGCACGAGAATACCAGGAGATGCCGGAAGCCGTGCCTTTCTGTTGGCACAGCTTTGAAGTTACTCTTATCGACGAGGCCCAGGCTCGCTTGAACGAGCTTTCATGTCTTTGCAAGGACGCCAACCGAGAGATTCTCCGTGCCCGTATTCAGGATGAGGCCTTGGAGCGGCAGTGGATCTTATCTTTGGCAGGGTCCTCAATCGGTGCTGAGGTTCTGTCCTGGCTCCGGTACCAGATGGAGGTCGTTGAAGCTGGAGAAAGTTAGTAGACTTACCAAGATGTCTTCCACTTGACTTGGCAAGCGCGCCCTTTCGCTAAGCCTTCTTTTGTAAGACCTCTCCAAGTTTCCGTGCTTCATGAGTGCCGCCTGTTTCACCCGATGCTGCTCATGGCTGCGCAGCCTTGCAGACTTCAGAGGCAGCCTTGTTGGGCCATGTGGTGAGCAAGACACAGGCGCAGCAGGACATAGGACATGCAGGTGAACAGCTGCCTTTGTGACGAGACCACCAAGCCCAAGAACGGGTTTCAATCGTTTCTTCGGTGGTGAGAGCTTGTAAATCTCGTTTTTTCGGTAGACACCTTTTGCCGGGTCGTTGAGTCCAGGCAAAGGTCGCAAGGTTTTCCACGCAGCACAGGCACCTCGCATGATCTGTGGGAGGGAGTGTAGCTGCTGCAAGACAAAAAGCGCACAGAACTGCCGCGCTGCCGAGAAGAGGAGCAGGCAAGTATCCATGATTTTGCAGAAGACAGCACGTCACGCTGTGCACAGCCAAGAAAGCGGGACATGGCAGCAAAGCCCGGTCTTGAAGTTTGCTGTTGGCCGCTCTTGTTCAAGCAAATTGCTGCTTGGACCCGCTGCGCGGGGCTTCGGACGCAGGTCGGAGGGACATAATTGTCTCCACAATGTATACGAGCCATCTCGCATGGTCCTGGTCCTGAGCAAAGCTAGTATGCAACCTCCATGTTCATATTCGGCATATTCCTTCCTGCGCGACATAGCATTGAAGCCTTTCAGGAGATGGACATGCAGCAGCAGCGGCGGTCGGCCAGCGAAGGTTCTTTCGGGTTGCATGTTCTGAGTCGATTGGGCATGGTGTGCGAACGCGTGCTGCTGCTGATGCCCGATGTCGAAAGGGGACGATCTCAAAGACTGTCTCGAACCATTCGTCACCTAGAATTGGTACAGCACAAAGCCTTCGACTCCAGCAATCGGACCAGTGGCAAGGCGTCAGAGTCTGTCAGTTGCAGCCAGAGTTGTTCTCAGCGACTGATCTGTGATTTGTTCATTTCGTCGATGGAGAGAACTCTCCTGACCCAAGCTCGCCACCGCAGGTAGGAAGACCTCCGGGATGTAAGTTGGGCGGCTATCGGCTAGAGACAGTGCATTCATTAGGCACAGAAGACGGGGCCTCGGGGATGACTTTACCTTCGTGGGGACAGCACTCTTCGCGGCCAAATTAACTTTCACACCTTATGTCTGGCCCGCAGCAGCATGAAATCAGCATGTCAACATGTAGTATGCGTTTATCCGACAGCTTCATCTCGTGTCACGTGCAGGCCGAAACACCGCCAGCAAATGGTATCGTTCCGTCACGCCGCATGTGCACAGTCAGGCGGGTTTCTGTGCTATCGGCTGACCGAATGCAGCATAGTCAAGCGACATTTTCGTTTCCACTTGTGTTGACACTGTGGCCTGTGTTACAAGAGTTGCATTAGCATAGACTCAGAGACATCCGGAGACACAGACACGCAGACATATGCAGACAGCCATCTAGCCGCCCACCACCCACACAACATACGCACGCACTCAGGCAGCCCTGGCCTTCCTTTACTTTTGAATTCGCGTGAACGCCCAGATGATAATGGTCCTTGCAGGATAGAGACAGTCTGGATGACTGGCGGCGAGCCTATGACAATAGGCCACCTCACAGCATCTGGTCGGAGAACAAGTGGACTGAGCCGGTTCGGTTGTCTTACATGATGTTCCAGTGCTCGACTTCCACGAAAGCATTCTCTGGCAGTGGTTCAATGCTTTGCCAAACTGCAGCGCTGACTAGCTGCTTCCAGAACAGCAGGTTTATGGTCACGTCCCTGCAGTACATGCACCGCCACGTGGGCGACTGCGTCGACCAGGTCTATCGGACGCATGCAGAGAAGCAGGCTGGACTGCTGCATGGCCATAAACGAGCCTTCGCAGTGTCCGCAGAGCAACCTCAAGTGTAGCGCATGGCTGACGGTCAGTTGAGAAGGCCTAACACCGATCCTTGAAAAGCTGCCGACGCTACAATCTGCTGCCGCGCAGGATTACTTTCGCCAGCATCAGCTGCCCAACTTGACTTGGATGGACCGGCCGGGGAACTCGAATCGGGCCTAGTCTCGCTGAAGCTCTTTGGCTGCTCTGTGCATACAGGCTTGGTTGGGCCGGCTTTCGCACGCCACACCGCTTTGAAAGCTAGTCGCACTCGTTGTTACTGGCAAAGAAACCTTTCCAAGAACGCTTCCTTAGGCTCCTGCACAGGTCCTCCGCCCCATGATGTTAGAACCCTGCTGAGATAATTCCTCCGCTAGCCAGTCTAGGGCATTCGTGACTTCTTGTCTTCTGTATAGATGCGAGGTCCAAGTACACACTCGTGTGCCTTTTCACCCTTTTGCGAGTCATCAGTCTGATTCTTGAGACAAATACGATTTCTTGCCGTGTCCCGAGTCCATTCTCGGTTCTGAGAAGGCATCACTATGATCGCCGCGGATCTGCCTCTTCGCTTGGTCCGCCTTTCGTCTGCCGTCCAGTGCTACAGAGCAGTCGCGTTTTGATGCGGCATTGGGGTGTTTGATCACATCTCGCGGCGGTGAACCGATGGCATTGTACCGTCTTGAGTTGTGCATCTATGCCAAAGCAAGCCCCGTTGAGCATGTGTGGATGTTCGGGTATCTTGTGCGCACAAGCACAAATCGCAGCGGTTGTAGGCTTTAACATCCGAGTTGCGGGGTGTGTCTGTTCGTTCGTCCGTCGGTCGATCTCCCGAGCTCGCAGCCAGTGCAGGATTTGACGGCGCTTAAGTGGGTCTTTATCAGGGCCGATAGGTCATGGTGAGGGCTATTGACTCTGTTGAGGGCTCTATGCCCAGCCCTGCTTGTCGGTTCCTGCAAGAGACATTAGCACTGTGACAGGACCTGCATATGATGACGCATGACAGATCGCTCCGGCAACGGCAGCCCGCGCACCGTGGCAGCATCCAGCCACATTTTTTCGCAAGCAGCTTGAGCATAGAACCACAACGAGACAAGCGTTCAGACGCCCTTTGGATATCAATCTTTCAACGACCTAGGCTACAGCATGTTGAGTTCGGCCTGTGAAATGCTGCTGCTCCATCAAAGGTACTATGGAGATGTCGGGGGACCACCGCGAATCGGGGCCACTCATGTGCACGGAGAGACGGGTGGTTTGCTGTTGTTCATCGTGGAGAAGGGTCCACCTAGGGACTTAGGGTTGTGGCCGTCGCAATTTTTACAGTTTGCAAACTGAGGTCTTGGCAAAGCGACAAGCAACTCCTTTGGCCAACCGCATCCTGCAGCCGAAGCTGAACCTGGGAAGCAAGGCGGTCCAGAACGCAGCATCAGCGGAACTTGGTTTCAAAGCTGAATGTGCAGGCGCTGCGAGGCTACGGTTCCAACTTTGGGAAGTGATTGCAGGGAAGCTCACCTAGAACTGCCACCTTCGCAAAACTGCGAGGCGATGATAGTGCCCTTCGTTTCACCAATCGAGCCTAGTCCGGCCTCATAATTTCGAGTCACAATCTCAGATGTTTTGTATCAGGATGTCTTCCCCGTCAGGTTCAGAAGTGCGGGCGACGGCCGATAAAAAAAGGGGAAGAGAGAAAACCGAAGCGATGCAATCCCATGTGCAGGGTATCATCCTTTTGGTACTGCGCTCAATTTGGATTCTAAACGGTTCGAGATAATCGGCGAGTTGGGGGGCATGGTGGGCAACACCATTACAAATACTACTTTATATAATAATGAGAAGCAATTTCGATAGGTCGTTATTATATATTAGGAAAATTCATGACGTATATTTAATATGATGTTTATTTTTAAATAATCGTATAGGTAATGAGGTAGGGCTACACCGGCTCTTTGGTTCTTCGGTCGATCTAGGCTCATGGCTTATTCTCTTATTGTAAGGGGAGAATAAGAAATAAAAGAAGGAGAAAGAGAAGGAAGAGAATCGGTAATTTTTTTTGGGGCTGAATTTCCGATATATTGATGAAATTATTAGGTTTATTTATAGATTTTAATGGTTTGATTAGAGAGCATGATATTTTTAGATAGGGAGGGATAAGTGACTAAAAATCGATAATTGAAATTATTGGAATATTCTAGGACCGTTATCGACTTATCTTCTGTAGAAGGTATGAAAATTATTCGAGAAGATTACACCGAGGCGGAGTAGGGCGATGAATTTATGTTAGAGGTCGTTTTTATAAATCGAAGAAAGAGGTCGGAAGGAATGGCGGCGCAATGATCTAAAAAAAAAATTATAGATGGCGATAGGAATGATAATAATAATAATGAAAAAGAGAAACCTTTAAAAATCGACTCGGTTGAGCTGGTCGAGATCGATAAAAGGGCTCAGTCGGTTGCGATCGAGCACTTCAGCCTAGGCCTAATCCAAAAATGGGATGATGAGGAGTTAGAAGTTTTAAGGCTCAATAAAGATGAGGTCACTTTCCGAAATTCCCTAGAGTACGCTGCAAAGAATACAGCCTCGGGATGGTAGAATTTCAAAGGGTTCTAAAATGCTATCTGATGGATGCGGGTAGGTAGTTGCCGACCCCATTGGGGTCTTTCTTCTGAAGGTCTGAAGATACCGAGGCCTCCCCCCTAGAGCGTAGAGCCCACCTCGGAACCTTCCACTACTGCTATGGATGGATTAGCCCTATGGGCTGGCCCCCCTCCTGCCACTTTGACGCCGCGTCAATTAGAGGCGATCAAGCGTCTCGGGAAGATATATGCTGGCTGCCTTAGACAAGGTCGCTCACTGGGAGGGCCGGCTGAGGCCGAGAATATCCTCTCAAGCCGCGTATGAAATTATGAAGACATCCTCGTGGAGCGCGTCGGTGAGATAATAGCGGACCTTGTGATCGGGACGTGGTCCCAAAAGGGAGAAGCTATGGGGGCCGAGATCATCGATTTTCTAAATAGAGATGCCCATATAGCTTTGATCAATCCTCGTCTCCATTACTGGTCAATCCCGGGCTTCACGGAAAGGGCGACTTCATACCACTCAAGAGGAATAGAAAGAAGGATGATGAGGCCTGATAAAATAATAGTCCCACGTGACTCGCAGGGCCATCTGATCCCCAATAGAGCTGGAGCTTTGGAGAAACGAAAGGTCGTCACTGACAAAAAGGGATTATATACAGGTTCATTTCGGACTTCATCCCCATTAATAAGTATTTAGAGGCTCTTCCCGGGGATCAAGACTCCTTGCCCTATGCCTCCTTGAGGAGGGGCAGACTCTTTTGATAGAATCCGAGGATCTCATCTCGACCTTCAATCTATTCAAGATTCCTGATGCTTGACGGCTATATTTCTCCTATGCCAAGAAGGTTCCGGGCTGCATCCTGGGGTCCTCTTTCAGGAGATTTTTCCTCTGATTGAACGGGTACGAAAAGGGGCGGTGAATCTTGATCCTCAATTAATCGATAAAATGATGCCTTTTGAGTTCCTCCTGTCTCTCGCTTCCATCTCGTTAAGGGTGCGTATTTCCTCAGAGATATCGTATTCGGATGGGTCCCTCTGGGGGGAAGAGGTGCGGCGGATACCGAGATTGCCCGGAAGCCCATGGTGGCACCCGTCGAAGAAGACGACCCGGGTTCCTGAACCCGCTGCGGCGGAGAGGAAATGCTGGGTTCCCATAGCTGCTTCTACCCCTGTCCAGCCTCCTGTAGATATTCTTTTTGCTCCATCTGGTGCGCGGAGCAATATAGGATGGAGAGATATTCGAGAAGAAATTCCCTCTGTTCGGTAGGGCAACCTCTAATGGAAGCCATGGCGCTGCATCGTGGGGCGCTGGTTCCCGTCTTTGACCTCAATATCAATCTAATGGACGCTTTCTGGAACCCTGCCGGGAAGGAAAAAATAGAGAGGATGGAAGGAGATCTACTGGTTGCAGCCAAGTTTTGGATTCCTCCTTTTGCTATATTTGACCAAAGTCGAGGGGACCAGGTCTAGCTGGTTAACGGCAGCTGGCTTGATATCCCGCCGGCTCTTCGAGCAGGCAGGCACTTGATAGGACTGGCAGACCTCTCCAAGGCAACGTCGTTCGATCGATCGAGGTCCGAAGGGTCATCACATTGGTCAACAGAGCTTTCAAGTCGTTTGGCAAGGCATTGGAAGAGCATTGCTTGTATTTCGTATATCAGTCCTGGGAATCCTTCTTTGGTATTTCCCAGAAGTCGAGGAGCTGAGAGAACGGCAGCAGGTCTTCTCCAGCAATTTTCCCTTGTGTTGCTACGGAGGCACGAAAAGCTGGATAGAGATCCTGCATAACTCTCCAGCGGTGCATCGAGCTCTTCGCCGGCCAGAGTGCCGAGACCATGAAGAAGATGCTAAGGCCTGGTATGATCGCAATGGTAGCATCACTTTTGCGTGTTGTAAGGAATTGGTTTTCATAAATCTGATATGGTACCTCTTGGCCATGGCGATCAAGCACGATCTCGGCGATATTTGCCTCCTCATCCTTGGAAAGCTTATTAATAGGTCAATAGAATGGCAGCTCATGGCGCAACTGAGAGGGGCAGCTGCTAGCCTCAGATCTCCCGCTGCGGGACAGAGGTCTTCTCCCCCTTGGCAGAGGAGATTTTGGAGAATCCCAAGGAGCATCTCAGGAAGATGCTCAGTAGGGGGCACTGCCGTGGTACAGAAGTGCGGCTTATGGCCCCGGAGGAGCCAGACAGTCTGAAGATGGACCCCTACCCTGCTCATCTCTAGAAATAGAGAAATATGTTATCTTTCGCCTGGCAAAACGATGATAATATCATCATATTCGAGATGCTTGCCCTTGGCAGAGATCAGACGCCGTGCGCGGTAGTTGGGCTCCCAGGGTTCCAGGTTCTTCCATGTCCTGGATTTTCAAGTAGAATATCATATTATGGCAAAGGGCATGGCTAATAACGAGTGATTCAATAGAATGACCGAAGGACGATGGCGATATAATTCGGAGGTCAATCACAAGCCTTGATATTCTAGATCATATCAATGCGAATCTTTATTGATACTATCTCCAGGAGATTTATTCCGTTCCATGGCCTCCAAACTTCATCTGAGATTTCAGGGGCTGGATATCAAATCCAGAGCCAACTACCGTCGTGCCCTCCTTCGCTTCTCTGCCTTTTTGAAAATAGAGGATCTTTGCATCCCTAATTCGGTGAAGGAACTGGATTCCGCCCTTGGCGAATTCATAATTTAATCCTGCCAAGAAGATGACTCATTAAGGTATGAAGATGCCGCTGTCTCGGCACTCAAAAAATTCCTCCCCCGATTGCGGTCGAGACTGTACACTGCCACGCAGATTTATTCCAACTAGATTAAAGTTTACAAACCATGCAGAGCCCCTTCCATTAGAGGCGCCTTACCATTGCTCTGCTCATCCAATATCTTTTCTTGAAATATTTCATGCCTCAGGACAGGGCATGTCGTCGTGGCTCTGCCACCCACCAAAAGGAGTCGGGGAAGAGCTCAAAGCGTTTTACTTTTCAATTCTTGTTTATGCCAAGTGCTCCCTGCAGCTTTAATATCGTGGTCACCAGACTCTACCATCTTCGATTTGTCCTTACAAACCTTTCGAGCTGGATTCCAGAAGCTCGTTATTTGCTTCCTAAGCCTCGAAAAAGGTATTTTCTTCCCTTACGGCCTTCGCCGAAGAGATACTACTTTTCACTGGCAAATATATCAAAGAATCGAAATAATGATGCTCATAAATAAATCGATAAAATTATAATTATTTTCATAATAATATTTCTTATTTGGCATAAGAAACGATTCGAAATCGAAAGAATATTTCTATTAGATAAAGAAATTCGATTAATATTAATAATTTCGATATTACCAGACATATATTAAATTTTAATTTTAATTGATATCTACATAATTTCTCATTATTTCCATATAGATAAATATATTATCTATATAATATCTCTCGAAATTTAGATGAGAACTATATCAATTAAATTCATTTTTCTATCATATTCGATATTCTTAAAAAATTATAAGAATATATAAATATAGTAGACAACGATAACGACAAGAATACATAATTTCAAAAAAATCTTTAATTAAACTAATCAGATAAATTATAGACATAAAATACCTTAGATCTTAATTTAATTATATGCTAAGAATCTTTTCTCATAATCTCGCACTTCAAGAAGATTTTATATGAAAAATAAATCAAATCTCTTGAAAAATATCGAGCCTCATCACATATCTCTAGCTACGGGATAATAATTTATAAATATAATATTTTTTTTTAGTTATCATAAACTCAGATATAATATAATCGAGACTTTATCCCCGAGCTTAGCGTAAGAATAAATCTCCTTCCCCAACAATAACCTCAAGCCCGATGTTAAAAAGATATTAAATTCAATTCGATAATAGAATCAAGTGTTTCAATAACTCGC